TAAAGTGGTCGTTATGTGGACCGAGGAGTGTAGCTGTCTTTGGTTGGACCCGACCTGGGCTGTGTTGTCCGTTGGGGTCGACATGTCGTGGAGGAATCTCAGTCGCAAGCATTTGTCCTTGGAATCCGTGAAGATGGTGAGCCAGCAGGCCCCATTGGTGACGGTGGGCTTTATGCATTGGGCTCAGGATAACACCGTAGTGATTCTGGATTTGGAGACCGAGATCTTTACGGAGACCCGATCCCCAATCGCTATGATGACTAGGCGGATTAAGGGCGTGACTTATCTGTCGACAGGGAATTCTCTATCTTTGGTGGTTCATTGTCGGAATGATTCTTTCTGTGTTTGGGAGATGGTTAATTCGGGGTTAACTGTGGAATGGATTGAATGCCGACGAGGGATTGCGTTGGGAGGTCGGATACGGACCCGCAAAATCAGAGAGATTTGTGGTGAGCGCGGTCGATTTTCTTTGTCTCCAAGAGGTTGGTTGAAGTACATGGAGGTGCTGTTGATCACGGTTAGTAGTAAAAACAACAGTGCGGTGATTTTCTACAATCTTGTTAGTGAGGAAATTGGATTGATTGCCTCCACAGAGAGAAAGAAAGGCAAGTTTTATTCTGTTGAAACAGTTTTGCCTCACAGGAACACCCTCGTGCAGTTGCAGGGGCATTAAACCCATCCACTTTGCTGTTAGGATGAGGTGTTCTCTAAGCATAATTTTAGTAATTAACTTGGATTGTTTTTCTTTCCTTTGCTTCACACACACCTTCAGACTCAGAGTGATGTGTTTCTATTTTCCTTGGCTTTAAAAGTTTAACACTTCATTTCAGAGGAAGGTTGATAAATAGTATATGCAAAAATGTCCCTACAGAGAGCAAGACTTATCTGTAAATTGGAAAGTCTCTATCTTTGATGATTCATTGTCTGGATGATTCTTTCTTTCTGTGTCTTGGGAGATGATGTCGGGATTAACGGTAATGCGGACGAGAGATTGCGTTGGGAGGTTGGATGCGCATAAATTCTCTAAGAATTTAGTTTTGATAACTAAGCGACTCGGATCGTGTTTTGCTTGCTCCACACACCCTTTAGAGTGGTGTGCGTTTATTTTCCTTACGTCTCGTTTTTTCTATTGGGCCCAAGGCCAAGCTTCTTTCCAGCCGACTGCTTTTGTGCCGACAGCCTCTAAGCCTTCGTAACACTTGTTCAAGAGGGTTATGTTTCAGCCAGAGCTTTGCACGGGCAGCCAGCGTCTTCTGCCGGCGACTAAAGCATTTTTATGGACGTAAGCATGTGGCTAAGGTGTCTAATGGTCGTTGGACAAAATTCACAGGCCTCTTGTGAAAAGCAGCTCGAAAACCAAAGGCCGAATTGGCGTTCAATGAACTATGAAAGGGATAAAACATTTTGGACAATTTTCTCAAGCCTGATATTAGAATGGGGCACTAAGAGGGTGAATTTTAGTGAGGTTCTATACCAAAACTAATTGGTGATAGGTGTAATAACCCACTAGACTTATATACTAGATTCATTTTCCTTCTAGAATCAATGTGAGACAACTCACAAATAATATTCCAACACCTGAGAATGAAAAAGATCATTTAAATTTTTTATCTTAAGATCTTAACTATGGAAAATAAACAAATTTTTATATTAAGATCTTAACATTTTGGACAATTTTCGAATATGCCGAGCCGAAGTGACATGCGCTTTTGGGTTGTATATGGAAAAATTTCATATTTCGTCATTTGGCTTGAATATCATTTAATTTATTTCCAGCCTATAAATAATTAGGTTCAAAATTATTTTTAAATATACTGGATATCTATGACAATTTTTATGAGTACTAGTAAAGATCACGTGCGTTGCACGTGGTGAAAATATTTTTTTTGCTAATTATGTTTTAATGTGGAGTTGTTTGTTTCAAGTTATTAAGTTTTGTTAATCTCGATTTTTATGTGAAGTATGAATTTATCGGGATAAAATAGTAATGTTCCAAGATAAAATATCTTAGTAGATGTAATTTTTAAAAATGTAAAGTATATAAAATACTGCAAAAAAATACGTAACAAAAGATTGTTACTAAATTTAAACAAAGTAACTAACAAAAGATTGTTCTTAAATTCAACCAAAGTAACTAAATAATGTTCTTAAATTTAAATAATAAAGATAACTAACTATGATCTTCAACTCTTCTCTTTCTTTATGGTGATGATCGGAGAGGATGCCTTCTTTTCCTTTCCTTTCGAATTTTTCTGCACACATTTCTTTTTAAGACTGCTGATTGTTTCATTATCGTCGATTTCAATGACACTATCATCGGTGTCTTCCTTCATCTTGTCAGCGACGCGTTTTCTTCTTTGAACTTGCTTTTTTTGTGACGCCTCTTGATTCTTTGGCAGACGACTTGGGGATTTGGGAGATTTTGACAAACTCTCTTTCACATCAACATCATTGATAGGTTGTAATCTTGCAATTGCTTCGGCAAAAATAAAAACAAAATAAAATGTCATATTAATATATAAAATACAAAGCACTAAACATAAAAAAAAAAAAAATTTGTACCTTCTTTCTGCGTAGAATTTCCATCAGAAGCTAACTTGAAATTTTTTTGATGCCAACCACCATCACCTCTTGGAAAAAGGAGGGGATATTGCAGTAGATCATAACATCCAAAATAATGCTTTATTCTATGTCTAGCACCTGAATGTGCATGAATGACAATGTCACGTTCAAAGGGAATATTAACATTATTTCCTCCAACCCATATTGCTGCGACTTGATCAGTTGTCGGACAATTATACACGCGCTGGTTTAATTTTGCATCCTTTGAGATATGCAGTCGAACTTCATCCATTGATGGATAGTCCTTCAATCTTCTAAAAACTTTTGCATATGGGTTTACATCTAAAACTTTAATGAGTTTGTTAACCGTAGATTTAGATAAAGAGGAGTTTGGAAATATGCACATCCTATTCTCGACCTCTCGTTCTGTTTCCACAAAGTACAACTGAAAATATCCAGGGCTATCTTCTTTAGGCAATAAGCTAGGAAGATCATGATACACTACTCCCTGAGCTCGAAAAGTATAGACTCCTTGTCTTGCAGATGCAAGTTCTTTATCTAATTTGACCCCTAATGATGTAAAAGAGAACATACTGTTAAATAGACGAATGTTTATTCGAAACTGTTTTCCCTCTTCCGTCTGTGAAGTAAACAATTCATATAGTTCATCAGGCACTTCAATAGGAGCAAGTTTGACTTTTCCATTATCACAACAAAATGTTGGACACTCGTACTGAAATTTCATTGCACCGCAATGTATGCAATCGGACATTTTTTCCAACTCAT